AAAAAATTTAGGATAAACTTTTCAAGATGCGAAACAGTGTCGTAGTTCCTTTAACGTTTAACTCGTAGTTTAAATTTCCTTTTTCAGAACTATGTCGGCCTTCAAGCAATATGTGCAGAACATGGAGGGAAGGCAATCGTTGAACCAGCTATTGATGTACTTAGAAATCGAACAATACAACGCCATTTTGCCAGCAAAAAAGATGCAGAAAACACAACAAGCTACACATATTTACAGGTAAGGCATATCGGATGAGAGAGCTGTTTTTATATTTTAATGGTTGGTTCCATTTCTAATTGAACTATTTTTTTCTCTTTTTTTTTCGCAGAACTTACTTTGACCCCACGTCCAGAAGGTAAACATAGCCTAAATGATAAATGGACAGACAGACAGACAGACAGACAGACAGACAGACAGATAGAGTATATTTTAAAACGATAAGATTTAACTTTAAGAAGCTTGTGGGGTCGTTTGAACCTAATTCTTACACTCACCTCATGTATGACCATGATTTTTTTTAAAAAAAGATATTTCTAATTCTCACTTTAGCCGTGTCCACACTATGCCGGAGAAATTTTAAAACGCAACAATCACTGGTCATTTTGGATTTTGTGTTTGAGCAAAACTCGGTCCGGAAAGTCACATGATAATAGTGACGCCATCGTTTTCAAAAAGCTTCTTTTTCAAATTTGTTTTCCGTCCACACGAAATCGAAAACCCGACGTTTTCGAGTGCCTTCGATTGGAAGAGTGTTTTCGAAAAGTTCCGTTTTCGTGACGGATTAGTGTGGACGGTAGGCCTAATCGTAGGAATAAAGCTGCGTCTTCAAATTTCTCTTACGTAATGTGGACACTGCCTTACATTTAACTTATGCATGAACAAAATCTTTTGTAACAATATATTTCTGATTCTCACTTGATTTCCACTTGTACTATACTCAGGTCCGTAGGTCTTCCCCAGTCCCTACTTCACCAAGTCAACGGAGAGAGACCCACCTCCCCAGTCTTCACGGAGGCACAGCAATTTGTACTCAGTGATGTTCAAACATACTTCAAAAGTTTCTTCAAGGTAAAATCCGGTAATGTAACGTATTTAAAGAGTTTTTCGAAGTTGAAATCTTGTAACATACTTCAATATGTCTTGTCAAGATGAGATCTTGTAACGATATTCAAATATAAGAGTTTTTACAAGTTAAATCTTGATAGGTACTTTAAAGGTTTATAATTTCCAGATGATTTTCTAGATGTATTTGGAGTTTTTTGCAAGGTGAATTTCCGTGGTAGTCGTGGTAAAATCTTTTGGCGGACTTCATGTAATACAATTCATTTGACGAGTATCAACCGTAGAGAGAGTTAGCCTGTTCCAGGCTCTCGGTCAGTGGGATCTCCTTTCCTCTCCCAGACCCCGCCCGTCGCCCGCCCGCTATTTTGATCGTCCCCACTGACCGAGAGCCTGGATGAGGCTAAGAGAGAGTTGGTAGAGTGAATCGCGCCGATGGAAACTGTACTTTTGCATTATCAAGTATTCAAAAGTAGGCCACGAAAACTGAGTGATACATATATGATGTTCATTTTAGCACGCACAAGATGCCGCTGGCCGGCGTGAGGGCACCCCTAACACGCCAGGGAGTTTCAATAAAGGAGATACGTTTGAGAGCTCACAGAGCTTCTTGCAGCTGTACAGAAGAAGAGCAAGAAAAACTAAGGTGAGTTGAACAGCCAAGAAATACCTGTATTGTAAGTGAGCTGCATGCGTTTTGTCACGCCATTGTTTGGGTCGTCACGCAACATTATGCTCCTCGCTTGACAACTCGGCAGGTATATTTTGCAGGTTGCAGGTTGCAGGTTGCAGGCTGAAATTTAATTATAACTGGAAACCCGCTGGTACTAAAGATAATTAATAACCTATATACTCGTCAGAGGTTCTTACATAAACTAGTTCGTGTCTTTCACATAGTGAAAACACGATCGATCCGCTATAAATACTTATCGATCGACACGCTGATCGCATGAGACCAGTGAAATCTCTTCAAAGCCATCTGGATCGCCGCTCNTTTTTTAATTTCGTTAGAGCACTGGCCGATCTGCCCCCACGAAAGACGACAAAGACAACTTCAAGAAAGTTCTTCAATCGATGCATGGACGGCTTTCTGTTAAAATGGAATATTTTAGACGCTATCTGCAAACGCACGGTGAGCCGGATGGATTCCCTCGCCTCGAGAACGATCTTGTCTTCTACTTAGAGGTTCAGAAGTTCAAGGTAAGGAACATTTATCATCTTCATTTAACCACTCCCGCTAAGGACCTTTTAAGAGGCTTTTAAGATACTCGTTGAAAAGCGCTTGCCCAGCCAACATCCGCAGTTTGCGAATTCTTACAAGAGATTTCTTTTTTGGAATACAGAGTGCTGGTAGCCGGTCTCTTCTCTTAGGGTCAGACTAGTGTACGTGTTAGCTACGCTAGCTACAATCCCGGACAAAAGTAGTTGGGACACTTGAGCTCGGGATCACCTATCCCCCATCCCGCCTAATCAATGTTGAAAAATGTCAGTCGCGTTGTTTCAACAAAAAGGGAATAAATCACCTGATCATCAACATTGTAAGTCGGGGGAGGGGAGAACCTGCTTGTTGTGTCAACTTTTTTGTCCGGGATTGTAGATATCTGACTACGACTCTTCTACTAGAATTCGGACCGGATGCGCCCTTGCCCACTAGAAGGGGGTAGGTGGGTAGGGCCGAACACAGCATTTAAGTGTATCGAACATTTTGAGCCGGCCATTTGAAACTGTTTTTCTTTTCAACAGGAGCTATTCAACTACATGGATGATGTAAGTCCAAGCTTGAAATTTCTTTGTCAGTTTTCGTCATTAGCGCACCGCGTTTCAGTAAATAATAATTATTGATTCTCTCGTTTAGGTTTCTTTGAATCGAAAAGTAGAAGCAATCATTGAGTGTTTCTTGGACTCAGCCACCCCTCCCTGGCTTCAGGTAAGAAATTAACTCTTCTGGTAAATCTGGTGGTTAAACAGTGTTTCAGGTCCACATTTTGCTCAAACTCGCAAAAAAATTGGTCAGAATTTTTTTTGGTGTAGGGCCATCCCTTTTTTTTTTCTCTCTCTCTGTTTAGCGTCGTCCGACCGACCCAGATTTTCGCGTTTTCAAAAAAAGAAAAAAAAGAAAAAAAAGAAAAGCTATGCAGAAGGCAATGAAGGCCATGACACATTATTTCAAACAATTGTCACTTTAATCTGAAACATAAGCAATTTTTGCCTTACAGATTTTTAGTTTTTTTTCCCTGTTCTCGTTTGATTTTAACAACGACGTCGATTTTTCCTTCCTCCATTGCCGCCATGTTGACTTTGTAACCATACCTTGTTGTTTCCAGGCTCCACGGATATTATGCTGAGGTACCGGGCCTCCTAGCTCCAGACTCCTTTTCCAATTTTATTTATTTATTTATTTATTTATTTATTTATTTATTTATTTATTTATTTATTTATTTTATTTATTTTATTTTATTTTTTTTTAATTTTATTTTATTTTATTTTCTCTTTTCCTACCGACCGACCCAAACTCAGAAAACGCATTCGACACTAAACGAAGAAGAAAAGGGGGATGGCCTAGTCTGTAGGGTCTGTAGTCCGCACTCCTGCAATAAGGGCAAGTTATAAATGAATGACTTCAAACTAAGGTTTACCTGGTTTAGAATTGTACATGTGGTTCAGAATCTCTCCAGAAAGATCTGAAGTGTGGTGTAGAGTGTACAAAGAAAGGTAAAAAATTCTGTCACAGTCCCATTGCTGATATCACTTTCGGCTTGTCACGCACTCCTCGCAAATGCTAGTTGCGCCAAATTGTAGGAGGGTGATGATTCATTTCCTTATTTTAAAGACACACATATTTCTAAGTCAAATTTAACTCGCGAGTACATTAGCATCTGTCATTTGCCCGCTGGGAGGTCCAGAAGAAACTGTGAATGAGGTCTTGAAAATGCTGCCTGAAGCCGCAGCGCAGGCCGAGGACAGGCAAAGTCCGAGGTCACAGTTTTTCGCTATGTCTTACAAAGCGCTTTAAAAGGTGTTATTAAAGGGGAATCAGACATATTGAGCTAAGATAATCGCTAAAACAAGACCGTCGTTTTTAAAGTGCACCTAACCCCAAATTTTTTAATGAAATACAAGAATACACCTACAGCACCTGCTACAACATGAAAGGCACAACAGAGATAATTAGGTTTACAAGTTGTCACGAACAGGCCGTCAATTGCGATTTAAATTTTCACACATCAATGAATTGACGAAAACCAAGAGACCATATTCATTGTAATAAACATGAAAATGCGATTGTACTCGCCCTCGAGTTCTAAAATTGGGATTTTATCGGAAATTTTTACCCAGTTCATACATTTTCACAGATCAAACACAGATACTATTGAATATCCGGAATTAATCCATTCAACACCCGCATAGAAGAAGCTTCCTGAGTTCTCGCGCCATTTTGCTCGGGTTGAAAATAGTGGAAATTTGGCATGAAATGCCTGACAAACACACGTTCTCAACGTGAGGTTTGTTCCTTGATCTCTTCACAACTCCGTAACACATCTGTTATGATATGCCCTGGTGGGTTGCTATATGGAACTTTCATAAAATCACCATACGTTGACTTCAACATTTTCCGCCATTCACGCGGAGCAGGCAAGGGGAAGCCATCAAAATTCACCTCCGTCAGAGGGAAGATCTCACTTTTTTTTCTTACAGTCGGCCCGAAAGTGTGTCGCCAAAACCAATTTCCATCGTACAACTCGAGGAAATTTCCGTCGGTGTCGCTTTCGAGTACAAACATATCTAATTGTAGGCCGTCCGCTTGTTTACAGGTCAAACAAGTCTTGTAGCAACTGTTCTTGTCTCGCAGTTTCCCAAGAATGCCGGTCAGAGTTGGAACTTTGTAATAAGGGTCTGTCTTTTCGGTTTGGAAGAAAATATCGTCGGGAAGTTCATCCACACCATATTTGATAAACTTTTCAAAGTCTGCTTTAGGAATGGCTATGTCGACATCATTATCAAACGGATTGTGTCCGTTGTGTCTCACTGCGCCGAGAAGACTTCCTCTGTACAACCAATACCTTATACCGTGCTTTTTAGCAATGAGATCAAAGACTCTGGTCATTCTTGTCAATACTAACTGGCAGCGGCGAAGCAATGTTGGCCCTTTTTTACGTATATCCGGACAGTTAAACTCGCCATTTTCTTTGCGATCGCACTGAGCTATCGTTGTGTAAACAGTCGGGTGTAAGTCAATTTCTTGCACGTAATCGTGAGACGCCATTAAAAGTTTTTTCATCGCGAAAATCCAAATAACCAGCACAAAAATTGCTGCCAAAAAGGTAGTGTTCTTCCTGTTACGGTGAACTGAACGAAGACCCGTCCATTGCCAAAAGCTGTTCATGACGCTCAAATTCCTCGATTCGCAAGAATCAAAGAACTTCCGGTTTGCTCTGTCGGGGCTAACAATGCGTGTCACAGCCCATCTCACAGCCCGTCTCACATCTGTCAAGGAAATGTCGGTGATGTCAAATTCATGCCTGACCGCTCTTAGGGTTCGTCACGCGTGACGAACCCTAAGAGCCTCTGCGTGGGGGGCTAATTCATTCTCAGTGTTATCAAATTATTGCGGCGTGACCGTTTAAGACTTTTTGTTGTCGGCCGTATTTTAAAAGCAGCCCGGGAGAATAAGAGTTTTGGAAGAAGCGAAAGATACTACGATTATCAGTTGAGTAAGGCGGGACGAAAGTTTGGTCGCCAAGTTTTAACGTAAAAATCGTGTTGTTGTCACGGGCAACTTACCTCGTTTCCGTTGGTAACAATATCAACAGCCGTTGGTCGCCTGTCGCGTCGCCTNCATTTTTTAAACACCTAAAATGTTCCAATATTATATTTCGAATGACCCAACACCTATTTCTTAAAACATTACCATTAACTTTTTACTCATTATTACAACGAATAAATATGGTTGGGAATTTATATCTTGCTTGCATTTTTATTGTTTTACATTTAGCGTGGCTACGATGCCTTCAGGACAAACTTCTATGTTTGGTGTTGTTTTCTTTGTATCCAAGTATCTTTTGGAAATTGAGGGACAAAAGAGACTTAAAAAGTTTGCATTTTGACCCGAAAGCGTCGGAGCCATGTTAGAATATTCAAATATCAAACATGGCCTATTTAACGAATTTTGTGAATTGTGAAAGGACTTTCAGGTTTTCCCTCTAACAACCACTGTGACAAGTTTATTGTTAAAACACCGGAAGTGTTTTGCCTAAAATGACGACCAATGTTTTCATTAATAGATTATTGTTTTGATTTTTTGATCGCGTTGAATCGAAGTTTCCAGTTTTCCAGTTTTCCCTGTATTTTTATGAAATTGCTGAATTGTACACTAACCCTTCATCTTCTTTTTATGACATCAAATTTCAGAAATTTAACTCTCCTAAAGAAAATGACAAGCTTCCTCCACCCCCTCCCCTCTCCTTTAACATACGAGTACTCCCCCGGTCTTTTAAAACCCAGTTCTTTTGATATCGGACCCGAACTCGCCTCCCGGTTAATCGACAAAGCCTCCCCCGCTGTTTAACATACGAGTATCCCCCGGTCTTTTAAAACTCAGTTCTTTTGTTATCTATAGATCATATCGGGCCCGAAGTTGCCTCCTGGATAACCCACGAAGCTTCCCCTTCCCCTTCC